TTTTCCACCTCTCAAAATTGTTGAATACTCTTTAGGTCGCTTAAACAAATGATAACTATAAAAATCCATTTGAATAAATCGATCAGTTGAAGGCCGATCATGTTTAACGTCCCACAATTTCAACTCAGGTTCCCATTCGAGTTCACCATACGAGAATAATAAAACATAATGCAATCGCAAATACGCTGGGTGACATTAATTAATTTACATCAGTTCATTATTTCTCTGTAGATGTAAAATAACATCTCTCATTCCAGTAATCTCGGTTCCATCACTTGGTATTACAATTGCAATCTCATCAGTAGTTGGTAGATTATACTGTCGTTAGTCTGTTGCTAAACTGCAGTGAAGATGAGCAGGTAGATTTTGTCTAGTGAAGCTAATTGATTCAAAATTGCATGAGCCTGGCGAAATTTGTCAACAAATGCATTAACTTGCAACAAACTATCTTGAATAGTTTTGAGAACATCCCTTCGTAAGTGAGGATTTCTACGATTTCGAACTTTCAAAGTTGAATCAGGATCATAAATTTACAACTGAGCATAAGTTGCATCCTGACCTGGCTGTGGTAGAAGTGATCCTGTTTGATGTTGCAATTCCCCATGGATAATAAATGGTTTAGGGCCGCTTCCTCTTAGTACTCTTGGATCCAATGTAGCACCAAGACTTGTAAAAGCATTGGCTGCATTGTATACTCGAGTATAACGTCGAAACGATCTTACTTGATCATCATCCCCATCATATAATGCTTGAAGCGGTGGAGGGGGTGTCATAAGCAGAGGTAGCCTAGTCTTTCCTTTTGAACAGCAAGTTCCAAATAAGGGACGCTTTCGAGATGATTGTGCTAATTTTTCGTCCATCCAATGTAAGGCTGAACAGTAAGGATATAACACATCCATCTTGCCGAGAGAATGATGAAATGAATTCATGTGTGATTGAGTATTAATTGCAGTACTTATAGTCATATCTTCTAATTCATCATCTATACTGAGAGGGTAATTTTTGTATAAATTGGGTCGAGCTGGGTAATGGACTATTCTGTGGACCACAGTAAGGACTAAGTAAAAGGGCCTTGAAGTTAGCCCGGTCCAAAGGAGCTTTGTTGTTAGCTCGGTCGGTCAGAGCGGCAGCAGTTAGCTCGGTCAAACCAGACTGAGCCGAGGTATTGTGGGCCTTTACTCAGGGCCTTGCTGTTGAATAGCTCGATCGAGGCATGCTATGGATAACGTGGTTTCGACAGGCAACCGAGGTACAACCGTATAAAAACTTAGCAAGCTTGGCGTTGTGCATTGGAGCGCCACTTGGTTAGTTTGGTATTAAATGAACAAGCCCAGTTGAAGTGTCAAACCAAGGTGCGCGCAGTGAAAGGAAGAACCGAGCTAATTGGAGCTCGGTCTAGTCTGCTGCTTTAGCATGGCCATGTTATCTCAGTTGTGTTGACATCCAATCGTGGTAGAACCATCTCACTTGGTTTAAGCAGTGAGGGGGGTGTTGAAGGATAAGCATTATCTTTTAGGAGTGTGATTCCTAGGAGAACTCTGCATGGAGGAATAAGAGTCCTACTAGGATTGTGCCACGCGGAACCTATAAAAGCTCATAACATCACCTATGGAGAGGTAACACAACTTTGATTCTCGAATACACAGAGCTTTTGTTTATTTGTCTATTTTGCTGACTTAGGCATCGGAGAGGTATCCGGCACACATCCGCCGGCTAGCTCACGTTTGTGTTTTCAGGGAGTAAAGTGACGACGTTTAGAGGAGTGCAGATTTGATCAACAAGATTATACAAGAAGATTATTTCTTGCTCGTACATATACATAGATCCTCTTAAAGAAATGTGACTGTAGAATTAGGCCTACAAATATTTGTTGTGCATAAATTAAAATTTATATACATGTAAAAGTAAGAGTATTATTTAAAGAATTAAACATGTTTTACGAATTCTGAGCTAAAGATGTACTTTCCATAGAGAACGAATATGTGGATGCATGTGTAACCATTGTTCGTTTTTGTACCAACGAAGTATCCGCAAGTGTCTTTGTACCCTGTTCTAGGCAAGCGTGACTGCGACGACTCGGTGTTAATGAAGGAAAGTCTTTAACATATGCTCCTAATCTCTCTCGTTCTTGTCGCAAGCGTTATCCCGATTGATATGTAGAGCATGCATTTTCATTTCTTTCACGTTCTCGTTGTGCACATTGAGCTAATACAGCTCTTGATATAACATAACCATTGGGTCCCTAAAATATGAATATTAAATCATTGGATGCCTAAAATGCAAATATTATCAAGTACCATTTTTCACTGTCCAAAGAAAATACCATGTTCTATTTTTATATCCCCTCTTCCAAAAAAATGTATTATACTCTTGCCCATGACTACCCATAGTTTTATAATAGGGCAAATTACATATACACCCCTCCAGGTTTGGTTAAATTACAGATACCCCCCTGAGGTTTCAGAAATTACATCCCGCCCCCTGAGGTTTGTATTTTCATAACAATTTACCCCCTGAGATTTATATTTCATAACAAATTACCCCCTAATTTCTTATGCAAATATAGCATTCAGGGGGAAATTCGTAATTTCTCAAACCTCAGGGGGGTATCTGTAATTTTGTCAAACCTGGAGGGGTGTATATGTAATTTGCCCTTTATAATAATAATAAATTGTGTGATTTGGTTACACTAATGAACAAATGTTCGACCAACTTATGAGAATAATAAACGTTCGACTAGCAGATTGTGTGGTTTTGTAACAGTAATGAACAAATGTTCGATTAGCAAATGAGCTTCATAAAGTATCCCCATTTTCTTGTAGGGCCCATGCACTTACAGGAGACACTATACATTCCTTTCTCACTATATATCCCTTCATAAAGTATCTCCTATATATTCCTTGCCCATGACTACACATAGTTTTTATTTTATTAATTTAAATTTAAATTTTTTAATTTATTTTTAATTTAAACCATCAGTCTATTGACCAAAAAAAAAAGTATTTTAGTTATTATACTCAATATAATTATACATAAAATATTTAAAGTACAATTTTGGATTGAGTTTAATGACTAAAATATAAATTTTTAGTCAATTTTATTTAACGAAAATAAGTAAATATTTAGATTAAAAACAAATTAAAAGATTAAAAATTTAAAATTTATTTTGATACAAGACTCAAACATGAAAGCTTTTCTTGTAATTTCTCCAAGATAACATTAATGGGTGGTTTAAAATTATTGTTTTTATCACATTTATACTTTATTCGGCTCCAGAATGAAATAAAATTTTAGGAATTCAACTAAAAGTCAGTATTTTAATTTTTTAATTTATTTTTAATGATATCACTTCACTATCTTTTTTATATATATTTTTTAAAAAATCAACTTTTAATCTTCGTAATTTTACATTTGATTTATTAACAAAATACCTTATCACAAGGAGACAAAAAAAAATAACTATTTTTATTTCAATAAATCACACACTATATTTACAATATTAAATATGAGCTACACTTTTCTTCGTATTTCTTTGGTGCACCTCCTATTATTGTTACCCTTTTCACACGCTTCGATCTTTATATGGGGCTTAATTCTTTAGGTAAATTATAAATATATCTTTTGAAATTTATTTAAATTACAAATTATTTTTTATAATTTTAGAAATTATATTATGTCTCTTAAAATTTCTAATTTCATAACAAATAAGTTCTTTTATTAATAAATTATCAAACTAATTAACAATTTTTAATAATGTTAAAATTTTATATCAATTAATATTTCAAATAATTTTATTATTATATAGGTAAACAATTAGAAATTTCACTTTTTCAATTAATTCTATTAGTAAATAAAAAATTCTGACAATGAATATTTATAATTTTTCAAATTACAGAGGATAATTTATATTTTAAACAAATCTTAAAAGATATATTTATAATTTATCCTAATTCTTTCAATCCATGGGCGAAAAGAATTACCACTTGTTTCAAGAGTGACCCTTTATAAAACCAGATCCTTCGAATACCAGCATGTCTGTATTGCAACAGTTCACACAACTTTAAAGTTGTATTTGATTCATAAATTTACAAATGAACTTTAAAAATAAATAAATATATATATATATATATATATATATTTATATATGTAAAATATAATTATATTTCATTCAAATTATATTTACTTTTTTTATTTTCTGAATTCCTATACAGATTCATAAAACAAATAGGCTTTGTTTGATTCCACAAGACTAATAGTGAAGTATAAATAATCTTATCAAATTAGTGTGGTATTCACAATCCCACCCCTACCCCATTATTAATAATCCTACAAATTTGTTGGATTAATTATCCATTAGATTAATAATCCTAAAACAAATTGTCAAAACAAACATGGGATAATTGGGCCCACGGATTAATAATCTCAATCCCATGCTCTAATCCTTCCAATCAAACATGCCCATACAGTATAACTGCCGGTACTATGACGGTCACTACAAAAATTAGAAGGATTTGGGATTCCTGCTCAAGTTAGCAAGAGACTTGTCCCGGGCCTATTGATTATCGAAATAATTTATATTGTAATAAAATCTATAGAACATATTATTCATATTAAAAATTAAATTAATCGGATATCTATAATTCATGCTATTCATTTATTTATTTTTATATATAAATGTGATCTTATTATGGGACTAGAGATATCCAACTAAGATTTTTTATTTATTTTTATAAATAATCTATTTAACGAATCTTGCAATATAAACTGTTTAAAAATTCACAACCGCCCCCCAAACAAGCCTGACGTTAGCAACCCCATATCCACGCTAGATGGATAGATAGGAGAGGTACAGTGCCAGTTGTGATTCCTTGCTTAGGTACGTCCCCAAGAAAATTTATTGTATGTTGACCAAGAAGTTAACCTGCCGAGACCATCACTGTTCTGTCTTAAATAGCTTTGTACTGACTTTTCCACCTTAAAAGTAGTGTTTAGATCATCAATTTGGTAGCCAAAACATGAAATGGGCATCATATAATTAGAATTTGCTTGTATGAACAAATACAATGATTAGTAAATATACATGTTTCAGGGCTCAAATGGGGGATAATTTAAGGGGAAAAAATGGTAGAACATACAAACACCATGTGGATTGAAGATATACTCAACTGGATACAACAAGATTTTTTGAGTCTGGCAATTAGGAAAGTCAGCCAATCAGACGGTGTCCCGAGCTAACCAACCCAAGATCCAGCCAACAAACTCGTATAATGGTGTTCCACTTCTAGCATTTCCAAAGTAATCTCCGACTCTGAACAGGAGGGGCTAGTCCTGGGATATCCCGAATGTCTTTGTTGTGTGGATTCACAAGCTGGAAATTCAAATATTCAAAATAGCTCAGCACATATAATATTATATATGATATTTAATAAACCAGATGGCATGTAAGTGAACATAGCAAACTCGTTCAAGAAATATTAGGAACCGTTAAATCCTCCACATGCAACTTAAGCATTTAAGATGCAGTTTGATAATGTAGATAGTTTATTGTTTGTAAAAACGAAAAGTTTGGCTACTGCCAAAAAAGTGCATTTATTTCATCTTTTTATCTTTTTTGGGTCACATCAATCAACATCTCCTCTCTACTTTTTCTACACATAATACAAAAAAAGTCAAAAAGTGCACTTATTTAGTCTTCCCAAACTAGGCCTAAATATGTGTAACACATATGTATTTTAAAACTTGTTTGGAAAACAAGTGAGATGGGCGGCTGATGAGAGGTGATGGTCGCAGGCAGAAGAAGGTAGTTGTCGACAATTCGAGACAATGGCCATAGGTGGTTGTTAGTCGCAGGAGGTGGTTGTCAAGGGTAATTGCTAAGAGGAATACATTTATCTAAGTGCCTATACGAGAAAATAAATAAATAATTCATTTAGTACAAAAATTATCTAAAATGTGAATCCAAACCATGTTTGCAACTATTGCTCCATTTGTTTAGTTTAGTGGAAAATGGTTTTTGGACTTTCTAGCATTTGGTATGAGGAAAAATGAAAATCAAATAGAAAATGAGGTGATTTGGGCCGCCAAAAAAAATACTCTTACTTTATGAATAATGCTAAGGATTATGAAAAAAAATCATGAAATGTATCATAAAAGTTTTTCATCCTTTGATTAGTATGTGGTGTTTAATTGTATGTGTAATCTAAAAGTGGAGAATCTTTAATGATTATTTTCATGATATTTTCTTCATGATCCCTAGCATTACTCTTAATTTATTCCAAAGTTGAAGACGAGCACTTATCTCCCGAATCCAGAACGAAGTGTAGCAAGGATATTCCTAATTCAATGCTATGCTTGCACGAGTGCATCTTTCCATGGGACATGATTGTAAATGTTGATACAACATCCAAAAAATAATTAATTTACCAACCAGACAACTAGAAAGTGCCAAAACCCACTAAAAAATTTGGAACATTTTTCCAATGAAGAATGACTGAAGATAAAATAGATACTGTGTTATGAGGAAAGGATGACTGAACTTTACTGCTACATAATAAAAGCATCGTGTGTGCATACCAAACACCTTTTCAAGCCCTTACATAGCCAAATTCAACCCCTAATGTTATTTTCATTTTCTGCAGTAGTTTGAGCTGGAAAACATATGAATTATTTCAAATGATTTTGAAAAAATTTCTGAACACGAGACAATAGAGTAAACAAAAGACGTGCCTATAGTAACCATTAGGTTAGGACTGTAACGTCTACACCAAAATTCAAGAAAAAAATAAAAATATGCAAAAGAACTTGAGTTCACCACCCAAGTAGAATCCAAATTCCAAATATGCACCAGGAATTCTTTTATGTCAACAAGCTAGTATTGGTGGGGTTACATACACTATTAAAAGGAATAAGAGAAAAGTGAATAAATTGACCAAACAAAAGTTGCATCATACTTCTGATATAGCATGCAAAGAAGGGAGATAAGAAGTGAAAGGCCTAACCTTTACAATAATGATAGTTACGACTCCAAGCACAATAAGGAAGAGCAAGGCCATAATGCACTTATCAGTTGCAACCTAATTCAAGAATCCAAGTAAGTAACACAAAATAACAATATATATCAAGTACATCAGAGAAGAGAGATGTGAAAATTTTAGAGATTGACCTGCCTACCAATTTCCTTCACCAGTTTAGAAGCCTTCTTGATCGAGAAATGGATAGAGTCCAACTCATTAACAATTCTACTCATTTGTTCAGTCTAAACATAAAAGAAGTATGATGTTTCAGTTCTCACACCTAAATTTTAGAAGCTGTCAACTTTCTTTCTCAAATTAGTCTAACAATGTACCTGCGCCTTCAGAGCTGCTGCAGTATCGGTTCCAACATTAATTGTGTCATGGACAACCTATTACAAAAACAGAGAACCTGGAAAATAAGCTTTTGAAGATTTACAAGCAATTTCACCACTGCCTCCTCCCCCTCTTTCTCTCTTGGTGGGGCACATTTGGGAGAGTCACTAATTTACATGCATTAAACAAAATGTGCATAGTTTGGTGGTGTTGCTTCACATTGGTAGCACCACAAAAAGCTTTATCAGGGTTCAAGTTATTGGATAGAAAAACCATCATCATTTATTTATTTCTTTTTAATTCCACACCAAATTGCTTCCAAGACCCAAAACCAAATGAGATTGGCAGGAAGATGTTGCTAGCACTACCAAACAAATATGTGCCAAACAAATTTAAAAACTGGAGGTCCATTAGCAGGTATATGATGTGGCATAGAAAAAAAAAAATGTAAACTAGAACAATTGTTATCCATGAGCACATCTAACCACAGACAAGTTCATCACACAAGTTGAGAAAATTTTAGTCTTCAGATAGGTCAGCTACAATTATTCGCAACATCACTTTCTTTTTAATCATTTTTAATTAGGGTGTCCTAAATGAGTGTACTTTTTGTCTTTTTGGACTAAAAAATTGAGGAAGAAAATATGGATGTTTGGGTTAACTTTTTGACTTTTTATGAAAAAATGTGTAATAAAAAATTGTAAAAATTGATTTATAGAGAAAAATTAGGATTGGGAGTTGTGCAGCCGTAATTGTTGACTTTTGGTAAATAGTGTTAACTTTTTAACTTTTTGAGTAACTTTTTGGCTTTTTGACTTTTTTGCAATATACCAAACTTGGCCTTAGAATACCAAGACAGAGATAACAAATGCATACTTTTAGATATGTGCTAGCTTTCTGGGCATTGCCAAATGTAGGTGTTTCAACAATATGTAGCAAAAGTTAACTAACTCTGGTTAACTTGCCAACCTATCATCAAAAGTAAAAATGGAAAAGGCTAATTATATCAATAATAAAGAAAGGAGGGGGCTAATCCAAAGCCTTCTCTCACGTGTCACTGTGAGACACATGGATGAAGGAGGGGGCTACCAATGCAATTTTTTGACTGCAGAATAACAGTCTCCCTAAGTAAAATAAAAAAGATAAAACTAAATGTCCAATAATTCCTATACCACTCCAAGACAAATAACTGAACCTCACTGAGTTAGCCAAAATTGATACAAGTAAACCAGCAAAAGATCAAATGATTGTTTCTGAAGGAAAGCACCAAGCTGTAGTAGTAGTAACAGCAACGGGCGCCATTAGTGATACAAGAGGGGTTACAGAAAACCCATCGCAAGCCCGGAGAGGGGGAAGAGAGTTTTGGTAAGCAAAAAGCCAACTTAAAACTTAAAATCAAATTATGTTAGCAGTGACACAGATTGAAGATAAAGTGGGGGAATGCCATTTGAGATGGCTTTGCCCTTGTGCATTGTAGGTTAACTAATGCATAGGCATGAAAGATTGACTCGAATCAAATTGAAGGGGCGAAAACAATTACATGTGGGCCAGGCCATATTTGGACTTTTTAAGTCTTTAATCAATATATAGCTTTCCATAGAGTTAGCTGGAGAAGATAGACATACGTAGCAACCAAAGGCAATTGGCGTAAGGCTTGTTGAGTTGACTGGAGCAGAATAGATATACTAACCTTTTTTGACCTCTCAATGGCTTGATCAGTCTCATCCATCATCTGATTTCCATTATCTATTAACTCTTGATTCGTCATAGCTGCATTTGTTTGCTTTTCAGATCAGAAATCTTACAAAAAATAATACACATCAGTAAAATGAAATTTACACAAACATTCTGCACATCTGATAAAACAACAATGTGCGCTTACACTTCCATAACATTCAAGAATTAAAAACCATGCAGAAGAATTTTTAACCATGAAGCAGGTTTTACTAGTTCATGATAATGACAGTTAGGCCACTCAAGATGATCCATACAACAGGCCATTCCTAGTTCTTCTGGTCAATACTGATGGACAGAGCTGCAAGAGGTGAACTAATCATAGACCTATCCTTTAGCATTATTTGCAGTGTATCTGCCCAGCTGCACTTGTACTCAAACCCTTGTTCTCACTCTTAGTGCCCAAGCTTTTACCATTTTACTAATTTTTTAGAGGGGTTTTGTTAACAAGTGGTACTAGTTAAGAATGTATTAAATGAAGCCAACTACTTCCACTAGTATAGAAATCAAAAAAAGTAATGAATGTTTGCTTGGCACGAATTTAATTATTTCGTAAGAGCAATGCTACGTATCATGAAAAATTTTTCATGAAAATGATCATGAAAGATTCATGACTCTTGAATTACACTTAAAATAAAACACCACACACTAATCAAAGTAATCTAAGGGTCATAAATTTTTCATGATCAGTTTCATGAAAATTTTTTCATGATCCCTATATTTCCTCATTTCGTAATAAGACCAAAATATTCACTAAAGACAAAAATAAACAATTGTCTTTCATTTAAAAATCTAACCAAATCAAACACTTTATCTTACATTTAAAAAAGAAAATACACAGTTGTGTTTGGTTGTATTTTCTAAATATATTTCTACCCCTTTATTTGCGTTTGACGTATGTTTACGGTTTTCAAAAGTTAATTCCACATTAAATTTTGAAAACTGTCTAAGGCAGGAAAATTTGGGCTAACCGGTTGTCCCACCGGTTGACCGGAACAGTACATTTTTTTTTTTTTGGCAATTGACACATGTTAATTTTTATATATTCAATAAAAAATATTTTCCAAATTTTTTAAAATTTGTTATGAGCTTTGAATAGAATTTTGAGTTATGTGTTTGGTTATGAATTGTAAGTTTTTGTATCAAATATCATATGTCACATCAAAAATTTCCCACTCAATTCAAAACTCTTTTCAAAACTCATTCACCAAACAAATTTTCCACGCTCAAATCATAATTCTAAAACTCACAAGCTCAAATACAACTCCTATTCTCAAATCATATTTAGAAAACTCTACCAAACACTACCCACCTTTTTGAAACATGATTTCTCAAAACCAATATAATCATTTAAAAAGGAAAAACCTTTTTTCATGTAGATAAATTAGATTATACAAGTTCAATTAATAATTTTGAAACTAAAAATGCCAAAAAGTAAAACATAAAGAATTAAAAAAAAATAAAAATAGCCTAAAAAATAAAAATTAAAAAAAAAATTTGACGCAAAAGAAAGAGGATATTTTTGTCTTATTACAAAAGAATTAAATTATTTCCAACCAAACATTCATTACTTTTTCTGATATCTATACTGGTGGAAATAGTTGGCTTCATTTAATGCATTCTTAGCTAATCCCCTTGGGACATTTGTTAACAAAATCTTTTTTAGAGATACCCAAGTCAAATGATTACCGTATCATCTTGACAGGTTACAAGTGAAGAATCAATCAACTCATGGGAGATTCTAAGGGTATGTCTCATATTTGATTCTCGACTTGGAGGTAAGCTATAGGATAATGACCAAATTCTGAAGCAGCTTGCAGAAATTGCACTCACCCAGACTATGATCATGCAGTCAATTTGCTTGGCCATTATAGCAAGTTCCACAACTCTCACTCAGCAGCAGCATACTGGTTGCCAACATTTGTAAAGTTATCTCCTTAAACATAAGCCTCGTCTTTGGAAGGGAAAGAAGACTCAAATGTTTATATTAGGTGAGGTTCAACTGTCCAATGCGGAAAGAAAAATAGCATGCAGCTGATATGTTCCCAAATGGAAACTCGGAAAATGGAGAACTTAAGTGCAGTTTGAAGTTGCAATTAAGAAAATCCACTACGTTGAATTAAAAGCTATGGCCTTGATATCAGTTATTAGTTCACCCAAAGAAATCAGAGTACTGACCTCTACAAGGGCCACATTCTACATATTCTTGGTGAAAGCTAGAATATGAACCAAAACCTGATTGGCTTGTTTTGGCTCTGTTCATCAGTGCTTCTGTTTTGCCCCCAGTTCAAAGTTTTAGACTTCAAAAAAAAAAAAGGGCTGTTTGGCTGTGTATTGCAGGGTCAGTTTACTCAAGGTCCCTGTAGAAATTTAATGTATAAAGAGAAATAGAGAATTGTATTATTGATTGATTTATATTGATATCTATTACAATGATTCATGATTCCTATATATAGAAGAGGGTGAGTGTGTAGTAGGTAAGGAGTAGGTGAAGTGGAGGTGGTAGTGGTGTAGTGGGTTAGGTTTAGTAGAGTAGGTTTAAGTGGGTGAAGTAGGTGATAGGTTTTAACAGTTTAGTGGGGTAGGTTTAAGTGGGTGAAGTAGGTGGAGAGTAGGTGGATTTTAACAGCCCCCCGCAAACTCAAGGGGGATAGGAACTAACCAACTTGAGTTTGGAGAGAGTAACAAAACAAGAAAATACATAAAAATAAAAGAGGATAAGAGACACTGTATGGTCGTGTCAGACCATTAGTGAAGACACTAGATGGTGGTGTCATAACGTTGTAGAGGACACTGTATGGGGGTGTCATAACGTTGTAGAGGACACTGTATGGTGGTGTCATAACGATGTAGAGGAACTTGGTGAGCCATCAGTCGGACCGTTGCAGAGGACAGTTTATGGGGTCATGTCGGACCGTTGCAGAGGACAGTTTATGGGGTCATGTCGGACCGTTGCAGAGGACAGTTTATGGGGTCATGTCGGACCGTTGCAGAGGACAGTTTATGGGGTCATGTCGGACCGTTGCAGAGGACAGTTTATGGGGTCATGTCGGACCGTTGCAGAGGACAGTTTATGGGGTCATGTCGGACCGTTGCAGAGGACAGTTTATGGGGTCATGTCGGACCGTTGCAGAGGACAGTTTATGGGGTCATGTCGGACCGTTGCAGAGGACAGTTTATGGGGTCATGTCGGACCGTTGCAGAGGACAGTTTATGGGGTCATGTCGGACCGTTGCAGAGGACAGTTTATGGGGTCATGTCGGACCGTTGCAGAGGACAGTTTATGGGGTCATGTCGGACCGTTGCAGAGGACAGTTTATGGGGTCATGTCGGACCGTTGCAGAGGACAGTTTATGGGGTCATGTCGGACCGTTGCAGAGGACAGTTTATGGGGTCATGTCGGACCGTTGCAGAGGACAGTTTATGGGGTCATGTCGGACCGTTGCAGAGGACAGTTTATGGGGTCATGTCGGACCGTTGCAGAGGACAGTTTATGGGGTCATGTCGGACCGTTGCAGAGGACAGTTTATGGGGTCATGTCGGACCGTTGCAGAGGACAGTTTATGGGGTCATGTCGGACCGTTGCAGAGGACAGTTTATGGGGTCATGTCGGACCGTTGCAGAGGACAGTTTATGGGGTCATGTCGGACCGTTGCAGAGGACAGTTTATGGGGTCATGTCGGACCGTTGCAGAGGACAGTTTATGGGGTCATGTCGGACCGTTGCAGAGGACAGTTTATGGGGTCATGTCGGACCGTTGCAGAGGACAGTTTATGGGGTCATGTCGGACCGTTGCAGAGGACAGTTTATGGGGTCATGTCGGACCGTTGCAGAGGACAGTTTATGGGGTCATGTCGGACCGTTGCAGAGGACAGTTTATGGGGTCATGTCGGACCGTTGCAGAGGACAGTTTATGGGGTCATGTCGGACCGTTGCAGAGGACAGTTTATGGGGTCATGTCGGACCGTTGCAGAGGACAGTTTATGGGGTCATGTCGGACCGTTGCAGAGGACAGTTTATGGGGTCATGTCGGACCGTTGCAGAGGACAGTTTATGGGGTCATGTCGGACCGTTGCAGAGGACAGTTTATGGGGTCATGTCGGACCGTTGCAGAGGACAGTTTATGGGGTCATGTCGGACCGTTGCAGAGGACAGTTTATGGGGTCATGTCGGACCGTTGCAGAGGACAGTTTATGGGGTCATGTCGGACCGTTGCAGAGGACAGTTTATGGGGTCATGTCGGACCGTTGCAGAGGACAGTTTATGGGGTCATGTCGGACCGTTGCAGAGGACAGTTTATGGGGTCATGTCGGACCGTTGCAGAGGACAGTTTATGGGGTCATGTCGGACCGTTGCAGAGGACAGTTTATGGGGTCATGTCGGACCGTTGCAGAGGACAGTTTATGGGGTCATGTCGGACCGTTGCAGAGGACAGTTTATGGGGTCATGTCGGACCGTTGCAGAGGACAGTTTATGGGGTCATGTCGGACCGTTGCAGAGGACAGTTTATGGGGTCATGTCGGACCGTTGCAGAGGACAGTTTATGGGGTCATGTCGGACCGTTGCAGAGGACAGTTTATGGGGTCATGTCGGACCGTTGCAGAGGACAGTTTATGGGGTCATGTCGGACCGTTGCAGAGGACAGTTTATGGGGTCATGTCGGACCGTTGCAGAGGACAGTTTATGGGGTCATGTCGGACCGTTGCAGAGGACAGTTTATGGGGTCATGTCGGACCGTTGCAGAGGACAGTTTATGGGGTCATGTCGGACCGTTGCAGAGGACAGTTTATGGGGTCATGTCGGACCGTTGCAGAGGACAGTTTATGGGGTCATGTCGGACCGTTGCAGAGGACAGTTTATGGGGTCATGTCGGACCGTTGCAGAGGACAGTTTATGGGGTCATGTCGGACCGTTGCAGAGGACAGTTTATGGGGTCATGTCGGACCGTTGCAGAGGACAGTTTATGGGGTCATGTCGGACCGTTGCAGAGGACAGTTTATGGGGTCATGTCGGACCGTTGCAGAGGACAGTTTATGGGGTCATGTCGGACCGTTGCAGAGGACAGTTTATGGGGTCATGTCGGACCGTTGCAGAGGACAGTTTATGGGGTCATGTCGGACCGTTGCAGAGGACAGTTTATGGGGTCATGTCGGACCGTTGCAGAGGACAGTTTATGGGGTCATGTCGGACCGTTGCAGAGGACAGTTTATGGGGTCATGTCGGACCGTTGCAGAGGACAGTTTATGGGGTCATGTCGGACCGTTGCAGAGGACAGTTTATGGGGTCATGTCGGACCGTTGCAGAGGACAGTTTATGGGGTCATGTCGGACCGTTGCAGAGGACAGTTTATGGGGTCATGTCGGACCGTTGCAGAGGACAGTTTATGGGGTCATGTCGGACCGTTGCAGAGGACAGTTTATGGGGTCATGTCGGACCGTTG